GGGTAAAGTAATATAAAGGAAAAAAGTCACATAAAAATGGGAAATGTGGGACTGGAGAGATGTCTCTGTGGTTAAGAGCACTGACTGTTCTTCCAGAGGACCTGGGTTCAATTCCCAGCCCCCACATGGCAGCTCACAACTATCAGTAACTGTAGCTCCAGGGGATCCAACACCCTCATACAGACATACATGCAGGTAAAAGACCAATTCATATAAAATAAAAAGAAATAAACCATTTTTTTAAAAGATGGGAAATACACAGGGAGTCTGGATCCTGTATGGTGTTGTGATGACTGAATTTTTTGAATGCTCATGAATGAACAACAGCTGCTGAGAGACATGGGACTGTAAGAGGGACTGCTGAATTAAACAGCCTACACACCATAGGAATGCTTTAACTTTAAAACGGAAGTCAGAAAATGTATTGGGGAAGAGGTTATGCTTTTATTTCCACAGGAAACAAAAGGCCATGGATTCCTTCCTTCAAGGTTAAGAGAGATGGATGGGGGACTGGAGAGATGGCTCAGAGGTTAAGAGCATTGCCTGCTCTTCCAATGGTCCTGAGTTCAATTCCTGGCAACCACATGGTGGCTCACAACCATCTGTAATGAGGTCTGGTGCCCTCTTCTGGCCTGCAGACACACACACAGACAGAATATTGTATACATAATAAATAAATAAATATTTTTTTTTAAAAAGAGTAAAGACAGAGTTAGAAAGAACACATGAGTACAGAAAATGAAAGAAACCATCAAAAAACGTATAAGTGTCTTTTTCCCCTAACCCCCTCAGAAAGAAAAGTCTTAGCTTATGCCAATACTGTGGATTCCTTTCGAGCCCTGAGCTGCCTGGAAGATGGCCCCCCAGGTAGCAATACACAGAGAAACCCTGCCTCAACAAACACACAAGAAGTCACCATCACTGTGACCAGTCACCATGCAGCTGAACCCTCCACCAACCCCAGAGTGAACAGACATTTTCAGAGTCGCTCCTACAAGGTTGACGTGAACTGAATCCTGATTTACCTGAAAGTGTAGTTCCCGGGGATGAGCTTACTTAGTTTTAGAATGGCTGTGTCTTCAGAGATCTTCACTTCTCTCAGAGGCCCCTTGAGCTCCTCCCAGTGGTACTGGACAATTTTATCGTCATCAGTGCTCTCTGGACCACAAAGAACATCAGTTAGGGGACAATAATGTTGGGTCTCAGCACTTACCCAATCCACACAAACCAAGCACCACATAGAGAACTCAAGCTAGAAAAACAAAATTAGATTCTCTCTCCAAAGCAGTTTTTCCCCGGGAATACTGGGTCAGTTGGTCCCTTAGGGGTGTTCCTGTGTCATTTCCTATGGACTCTAACATAGGAAATCTCATTAAAATGCTATTGTGTGAAAAAGGAAAAACAATTCTTAAATGCATGAAAGTAATATTGAACCCTCACTTAAAAGAAATGAAAATTAAAAATACTCTTTCAGATACTATTTTTTAACCTATCACACTGATTAAAAAAAAAAAAAGTTTCAGACCATCGAGATGGCTCAGCAGTAAAGGATTTGCCACCAGGCCTGACCCCCCCGAGTTCATCTCCAGGCCCCATGTGGTGGAAGGAGAGAACTGATTACAAGTTGTCCTCTGACTTCCACCACCACATACAGCAAGAAAATGCAATAAAAATTTTTTGTTTCACAGCATGGTAAATGTATAGAGAAAAGGGCCCTCATATTAGCTGAACTAATACAGTTTATTGCTCTACATGGCAACATGTATCTTCACTACTAATTGGTGTAATAATTCTAGAAATTTACCTTACAGATAGACTTTCATGTATGTTAAACATCATGTTGACAATATTGTCTGTGGTAGCACTGCTCATCACAGAAATGAATTCAAGTAACCTAAGTGGTCGCCAACAGACACGGTAGACAAGCACACTGACTCCCCATACTCAGCAGAGGTCATCTTTGAGAGTGGGATACGCATTTCATGCACTGATCAGACAAAATCCTCCACACGGAGCCGAGCTCCATCACAAGTGACAGTGTATGTGACATGTGGCTGTGTGGGTCAGAGCAAAGATGCCGCTGCATGTGCAGTTTCCAGATATGCAGAAAAGCCCTCTGCAAAGACACAGACAACAACTGCAGTCACTGCTGTCTGGAGGACTGGGGGACACTCTCCTCATGCTGTCTTTGCATAGTATTCAACTTTGACCTTCCAAACTATGAAGCAACAAGTGGTGTTGGAACCCTTCTACCCTTCCTCTGACACCCGCTTCTTTCTGGGCCCTTCCTCTTAACAGAGCCATCGACATCTAATGCTGAGCCCTCCTTAAGTGTGCTCTGCTAGAGCAGGGGCTGCCTTGGTCAAAAAGTGTGTCCGTGTGCCAAGACAGGCAGAGTGATGGGGATGGAGCAGATCAAAGCACAGGACTGAAATACCTGAGCACTTTGGGTTGGGGCTTGGTTTTTATTGTTTTCCCAGTCCAGCTCCTGTGCATGCTATAAAAACACTGCACCACTGAGCCACATCCACAGCTCCTGTGCACGCTATATAAACACTGCACCACTGAGCCACATCCACAGCTCCTGTGCACGCTATATAAACACTGCACCACTGAACCACATCCACAGCTCCTGTGCATGCTATATAAACACTGCACCACTGAGCCACATCCACAGGTCCAGAAACCTCGGTCCACAGTCACAGTGAATAAAGATGACGGCTCCAGAGCACATGCTGCTCTTCCAGAGGACCAGAATCCATACCAGGTAGATCACAATCATCTGCAACTCTACTCCATCTAGGGAGCAGACCGTCTCTGGCCTCCGGGACACCTTGAGTACATGCACATACATACCCCTACACATAATTAAAATAACAACAATAAATCTTCAAAAATCATTAAAACAAAACAAAAGAGAAATATAGACCCGGGCCAGGTGCACAGTGAGCCTCTCCAGGAGGCTGACGATAGCCTATTAGGCAGTGATGTCTGTTGAACACTCCTAGGACAGCCCTTTTGGCTACTGATGTAGCCAAGAACTTGATTCCAACAACCAAGAAAGGAAACAGCATCTAAGCAAATATGTAAACCAGTCAGTTTCAACTAAGGTAATTCTAACAATCCTATTTTTTGAGTAGAAATGTTACTTCAAACAGATTTTAACTGGCCTGACTGGTAACTTCCCAGTCAGTTGCTTGGGATGGTTGACCTTCCTGTAACATGGTTAAAAAGACTGACCTAAGCAGAATATGGACACAGCTGGCCCTAGAGTTCACAGTGACTTCCATTCTATACCACTTAAACAAATACTCACGGCTGCCATCAATAATGGTTGAAGTGGTTGGCAACGAGATCTCCTGGAACTGGGGGGACACAATAGCAACAGGAGGCCGATTCTTACGGGGTTCTGCAAGAGAGTGAGCCAAAACAAAATGGGAGAGAAAAACTTAAAACTGTAGGAGGGTGGGGCCTATCTGTGTTGATTACAAATCCTTTTCAATGAATGGCTGACGAATGAAGTAGTACCAGACAGGAAATTATCAAGACCAGGCTGCCATTCTAATGGGAGACACCTGCTCAGGCCTGTTCCAAGCCTGACTGTTTCCAAGACCATGCCAACACGGAGCCTGTTAGCCGTGTAGTCTTGACTGACCTTCAACTCACAAACCTGAGAGCTAGACTGAAATACGCATCACTCCATGGCCCTGTGCACTCTTTCAGTGTGTCAAGCTTCGGAAAGTACATGGCTGCCAATCACTACTTCTGGGTTAGCACACAGCTCCACTCATGCTAGTCAAGCGCCTCACCATCGAGCTACAGATCTAGTCTGCAGGTCACACATTCAACGTCTGGTGAAAAGTCTACTTTGGGTTCAGAGCCCAAGGAATAAACTCTGTTGCCAATAGAAGAAGAAGGTGGCACTGACCTATGCCAGCGCAGGCACTCTCTCCAGCTCCCTGCAAATGTCTGTCCAAATGCAAACTACGAATCCTTACTGTTGTTCTGCAGTCTACCAACATGGCTCATTTTAAGAGAATGACAGTTTGGATTCAGGACTGAGTTTCCAATGGGAGAAAACTGGTAGTGTTTAAAAGAGGTCACCTGGTTGGTCACTTGGCTTCTCCAGGACTTCAAGCTCCCTTAGTTTCTTAATTACAACACTGGGTCATCTCTCAGCCCTTGTCACTTGGAGTCTCTGGCAGAAAGTCATTGCTTGGGCCATTCCCATGTCCAGTACACTTTGCTACAATTACTACACTGGACTAGGAATTGCCCAATAAATAGAATATAATGACCCCCCCCCCCAATGAATAGGAATGTCAAAGCCTGAGGCCAAATCTCCCTCTTAGGAGTCCTGCAGAGGGAGCTGTGGGATGGACGCATACCTGGCTTCACTGTCACGTTCACGTAGCCTTCCCCGTGGGCATTCTGACCTTCCACAATCACCTTGAATTCGTACAGGCCTGGAGTCAGCTGACAAAGGAAGACAAGACCCTTTAGATGACTGCAAGGAGCAGAAGCTTTGTTTTAGACGACAGAGCACTTGAGCTTTCTTGGCCTGAATCCTGCACTCTTTTTGGGTCCTGTTCTCAAAGTGGAAAAAGTAAAGTAGCTAAAGGGATTAAAGATAGGTCATCTTTTAATGTGACTCTTATTACTGGCTGTATCTGGAATAAAAGAAATGTTTCAATCTCTCTATACTCCAATTTTCTTCTCAGAGGAACACTGAAGACCCAACCATCCCACTTATGAAATTAAAAAATCAAGACTTCTAAGAAAAACATCTTATTAAAAATAAAAACAACAAATGGGTAACTGGAGAGATGGCTCAGTGGTTAAGAGCACTGGTTGTTCTTCCAGAAGACCTGGGTTCAATTCCCAACACCCCCACGGCATCTCACAATCATCTGTTAACTAAAGTCCCAGGGGATCTGACAGCCTCTTCTGGTCTCCTTGGTCAACAGGCATACAAATGGTAGGGAGATATACATGCAGGAAAATCACCCATATATACAAAAGCTAATTTCATTAAAACAAACAGGGCAATGGTGGCGTACACCTTAAATCCCATCACTTGGGAGACAGAGACAGACAAATCTCTGAGATCAAGGCTGGTCTGGTCTACAAAGTGAGTTCCAGGACAGCCAGGGCTATTACACAGAGAAACCCTGTCTCAGAAAAAAAACAAATCAAGCCAAACCAAAAAAAAAAAAAAGAAAAAGAAAAAAAAAAAAAAACAAAACAAACAAAAAAATCAAATCATGCTTAAATATCTGATTTTCCCTTCCGGTTTCCACCCAGTGTATACATACCACCAGAGAGGAAGCACAGTGAGACCACCACTGTCCCACTATCCAGCAAGCCCTCTAATCCTTGACCACATACAAAAAAAAAATAGTTTAATTCAAGCTCATTTCTTTTTTTATTTTTTTTCTTTTCCTTTCTTTTCTTTGTTTTTGTTTTTGTTGTTGTTTGTTTTTTGTTTTTTTGAGTCAGGGTGTTCTCTTTGCAGCCCTGGCTGTCTTGGAACTTGCTCTGTAGACCAGGCTAGTCTTGAACTCACAGAGATCCGCCTGCCTCTGCCTCCCAAGTGCTGGAATTAAAGGTGATCACCACCATGCTTGGCTTCAACTCATTTCTTCAGAGCCAAACATTACCTGTATTATCCCAGGCCAAATTTCAGAGACCTAGCTAAAAATCAAGGTATCAAACTTTTTATTGTTTTTTATTTTGTTCAGTTAGCATAAGTAATGTCTCTGATTATGATATAGTCTCTTTAACATTCATTAATCCTAGTGACTATAAAACACTGCAGGAATATATGTATGATAATTCACACAAGAATTCCACATTGCCAGATACTTGAGCGGTTTCCAAGTTTTTCTTATGATTAAAATGAACATCATGGAAGAAAATAAAGATTTTTCCTTATTTTCTTCTTTTTTGTGTGAATACCATTCAGCCAATCTCTCCTCAAAATGCTTTTGTCCCTGGCTTCTACCTTGCTCCCCCATGTCCTCTGCCTCACCCCACACACTCCCATTGGCTGCCCTGAGCTGTGACTACACCTTTGATTTTAAGCAGATTTGCAAATTTATCTCTCGATCCAGACTTATCTCCTGTTCTCTAGTCCTTTCTTCCAGCTGCCAATGGATCCACTCACCCAAATGTCCCATATGCACCTCAGTCATATACTCCAAATGACTCAATCATCTATCTATCTGTAAATCTTCAAATTTGGTTCTTCTGTCCTCATTTCCTCTACTCCAAGTCTAAAACCTAGACTCAGCCTGGACTTCTCTCCCCCAGTATCCCCATCCAGTATCTCAAACTCATCTGATTATCCCCACCCACACCCCCTCTGCCTTGTTCTTCATCCACTCATCACAGCAGTTAGGAATCAGAGTGTGGGCTTTGGGATGGAATGTTCTACAAACAACCCACCATTTAATGGCTTTGTGAAATCTGGCCAAGCCATTCCCTTTTTAAATTTTTTTTTATTTTTTCATTTGTAAAACATATCTTAATACCTGATATCTTGAGGTTTTATGACAAAATAATTAAATAAAAGAATTAGCAACATCTCTGTAGATGGCTTCTTGTTTTAATTGTACTTTGGTATTTTTACTCAGAATCTCAGAATCATAGCATTTCCTACCTAAATGTGCCAGTAGACTCCTTATTCATCTCCCCCTTTGCGTCTTATCTCCGCCAATCTGTGGAAGGCCACATTTCTAAACTGAGAATCTGAACCTACCTCTCACAGGCTCTCTGTTCTATAGAAAATACTCAAGGTAAAGCCACCGAGATGGCTCACTTGATGCTGGACCTGACAGCTACACACAAAGAGAAATAAAGAGCCAAATGCATTCAAAGTCCTGCCACCAGGACCTCCTCCTTCCCTGACGGGTGCTCTTCACAGGCCAAACCATGTGGCATTCCTTCCACCACAGGTCCTGCCTCTGAGAGATTTCTAGCCCAGGGCTTCTGTTGCTAGAATTTTCTCTTTCCATACACCCTTTACCCAGTAAAGAGGGCCCCTTTCATGACCCATGAACATCTTATTGCCCATAACTACGCTGAAGATCCAGTCATGTGGACACAAATAACCTCGCTTCTCTCTGGAACTCTGAAGAGCTTATGTCACCTCACAGAGCTGTTGAGTGTATATTTTCAGCCATCTCTAGCATGCTGTAGTCTTCTCACCAGCAATGAAAATTTGAGAATCGTACACTAAACAAACACTGGCTGCCCGCCATGGAGACTTCTGAAGGATTCACCACTAAAAGATTGTTCTCAGCTTCAGTGTGGCCAGGAACTCTGTATTCCCTGTTTCAGAAAGTCAGGGGCTCTCCCCTCGCCCTGCAGGTGGAAGGAGGCAAACTCACCTTGGACAGTCGGAGGACCTGGGAGTGTCTCCTTTCCATTTCCCCACTGTAGTCTCTGGGATGAGTAATCAGCTGCCAGTTGTAGGTGTAGGTTTCTCCTATAGAAGGGCAGTTAGGAAAACCATGAAAACACGCACCTACACACAAAGAGCTGCCAATAACAAATCGCTTCTACAGCCTGCCAATAAGAAACCTTTTTTAAATCCTGATAAAGCTGTGGCTTTAACAAGCTGCCCTAAAGCTGTAGGGAAGCCAATCATTTCCTGAAAGGGCTCTTGTTGACTCAGCCACAGACAGGGTCTCTTTCATTCTCTCAACAGTGCTCTTTCTGCCCCACACCCACCCTCCAGCCAATCCTCCCTTTTAAAAAAAATCAGGTTGTTCATGGTGTATCTCTCACTGAAGATACATGCCCTACCAACCACTACAGATGAACTGATTGGGAACAAAGGTCATTTTCTTACAAAACTTCTTTCCCAACAAAGAACAGCAATGACTTCTAAATAACATGGTTCAAAAATAGCATTTTACAGAGTGCTAACAATGCTAGTCTAGCTGAGGTCATCACACCCTGGTGAGTTAAAAGAGCTACTTCATTCCTGCTGAGCTAAATAACACCCTGCAGAAGATGGCAAGGCATGGCCCATTTAAAACAGGCCCCACTGAAATTAATTAAGATCAAATGAAGCAGTAAATGGTCCTCGTTTACAGCTTAGACTGTATTGTTGCATAGCATGAGGGTAGAATCCCGTCATCTATGAGGGACCATCTGCCCCCCCCCCCAAAGTAATCTTCAGCTGGGGTCAGATGCACCGGGAAAGGTGGTGTGTGGCAGGAGGGCTGCTGGCTGCTCCAGGGAGAGAGAAAACAGTTCACAGCACTCAGCAAAGCATGGCCACGCTTTTACCTGAGGAGCTCAAATGTTGAACACAACGCCTAATCCTCCAAAACCTGAGAAGCAAATTTTATTTTGTAAGTGTTCCTCCACCAAACTAGCATGATGATCCGGCCTGTGGTCACCTCTAGCTGTTCTCACATATGCACACACAAAAGTCAAATCTGAAGAGGCAGGGGAGCAGCAACAGCTAGGACTCATGCTAAGAGATAATTCTTCAAACTGTAATTTAAAAAAAATTTCCCACACAGAAAACATATTCACAATAGCTTGGGAACTGACAAACAGACTTCAAAACAGGATGCTATTCCTAGGCCAGAGATGCTCACGGAATGAGTTGTGCATTAGAGGCAGAAGTTCACCCACGGGTGGGAATGTACACACATAGAGGCCGTAGACAGAACGCTGACAGTCGATCCAGGCAGGGCACAGCTTTGAAACCAGACCTTCCAACCTTACAGACATCCGTGTGGGCTGCCACAGTGCAGAGGGGATCCTGCCTCAGTGGCCCCACCTTTTAAAATGAAATTATCTATCTCAGAGAACCAAAGAACTTGGACAGAGGAGAGTAGGGGAATTTAAAGAAATGTGTGCTTTGTAATGTTGATCTGCAATATGATAATAATTCAAAAATATGTGTGCAAATATAAGTTAGAAAAAAAGTACCGCCGAGTTGGGCATAACTTCCACAAAAGAGCAGAAGTGGAGCAACCACTACTAAGGAAGTGTTTTCCTCTCCTCCTTCCTCAAGGATGACTAAATTCCTTCACCTTGAACATAACACCCAAGGAGGAAAGGAGAGAGCCTCTCTGAAGACAGCAGTTGAGCCCTTTCATTCCTGTCTTACTCTGACTTTGGGAGCATCTCCTCCCACTCCACCTCCACTCCCTGAGGACCCAGCTCCACCAGCTCTCTCTTGAGGACTCTCTGCCTTCCTTCCTAGCGCATCTCCATTCCTTTGTGCCACTACCGACTCACAGAGGCACCTTTATCAGGGACCCCCACAGCCACCATACCTGCCTAGGATCCAGAGAGGCAACAGCAACCAAAGAATGAAGCACTCTCCTAACAACGACAAGATACCAAGAAACACCTTAACTGTGACTCCAGATGCTTACATCCCAATACAAACACACAAATATGAATAACCAAGACAACAAGCCTCTTCAGAAGCCAGTAATTGCAATAGGCCTTGAGAATTTAGCTGAAGCACAGGACAAGACTTCAAAATTGCAAGTCTAAATACATTCAAGAACCTTAAAGTGGAATAAATGCCTTAATGAAGACTGTGAAAATACAAGTGAATGAAATAATGAAAACGGTTCAACACATGGATGTAGAAATAGTATCACTAAAAAGTAAACTAAACCCAAAATGAAATAAAACTGGAAATGAAGAACTGAAGATATCAAACAAAAACCTCAGAGGTGCCAGGCAGTACCTGGAGGTAATGGCACAGGCCTTTAATCCCAGCACTCAGGAGGCAGAAGCAGGCAGATCTCTGAGTTTGAGGCCAGCCTGGCTACAAAATGAGTTCCAGGGCACCTAAAGATACACAGAGAAACCCTGTCTAGAAAAACCAAAAATAAATAAATAAATAAGCATAAATAAGTTTTAAAAAACCTCAGAGGTAAGCCTCATCAATGGATTACAAAACATGGAAGAGAGAATTTCAGGTCTTAAGGACAAGGCAGAAGAAATGGACAGCTCATTCAAAAAATAAAACAACAACAACAAAAAGTTAAATCTAAAAAAGAAAAACCAAAATCCAGGAACAAAATGTTCAGGAAATCTGGGACACTATGAAGAACGAGTCTATAAATAATAGGAAAAGAGGAAGGAGAAGAAACCCAGGTAAATGTACAGAAAATATTTCTTAAAGATATATATATGTATATATATATATATACACACATGTATGCCTACATGCCAGAAGGCATCAGATCTCATTATAGATGGTTGTGAGCCACTATGTGGGTTCTGGGAATTGAACTCAGGACTTCTGGAAGAGTAGCCAGTGCTATTAACCTCGGAGTCATCTCTCCAGTCTCCACAGAATATATTTTTAAAAATCGTACAAGAAAATCTCCCCAATATATCAAGGTACAAGAAGAATATGGAACACCAATAGATTGGACCAGAAAAGAAATTCCCAATAATGCGTAATAATGAAAACATTAAATGTACAAACAAAGACAGAAAATTAAAAGTTTGCAAAGAAAAAAAGACCAACTCCTACATAAACGTAGGCCCATTAGAACAACACCCAACTTCTCGATGAAGGGCCTGGACAGATGCGCTACTGACTCTGAGATGCCAGCTCGGATCACTACACCCAGCAAAGCCATTGATTAAAATCAACAAATAAGACATTCCACAATAAAGCCAAACGTAAGCAGTTTCTATTTACTAGTTCATCTCTACAAGGGCATTAGAAGAAAACCTCCAATCTGAAGAGGTTAACCACACTCAAGGAGACACAGGAATACAGACTCCCAGAACAGGACATTAAAGGGGAATGACGACAACACTGTAACTACAAACTAACAAGACCCAATAAACACTGCTCACTGAAAACCCTCATACTGCAATAGTAACACAGACTATAAGCCTGGGTCAGAAAACAGGATTCATCTTTCTGCTGCATCTAAGAAAACACGCCTTGCCATCAAGTATAGTTACCATGGCAGGGTAAAAGGACATAAGAAGGTATCCTAAGACGCCAGCAGGTAGAGTTGTTTTAATATGAGACCACAAAAACAAAACAAAAAACAAATGAAAGAACCTACACAGAAGAACTAGGGAAGAATAGAACATTAAAGGAAAAAATTCAAGAGGATACTGAGGTTCTAAACATTTATACACCAAACATAATTTTATACACCAATCATAAAAGAAACATTACTACAGCTAAAACAGGACAGACGCATGTGCAAACTCACAGAGACTGTGTCAGTGTGGACAAACCCGCACAGGTTCAAGCCAGATGGGGTCCAGGCACTGAAAGAGGGAAGTGGACACTGGGACCCACCCTTAACCAAGAAGCCATCTGCAATTGATACTCCTGGCAAAGGGACAATCAGTTTCCTCCAGTGGAGTCCCCTAGGTATATCAACCACACTAAGGGCATACCCAGCAAAACAAACTCAATGGCATTTTTAATGGACTTCATTTCATTTTGCTTTGTTTTGGGCATTTTTTGTCTTATTGATCTTTTTATGTGGGTTGTTGTTGTTGTTGTTTTTAGAAACAAGGTTTCTCTATAGCTTTGGTGCCTGTCCCGGAACTAGCTCTTGTAGACCAGGCTGGCCTCAAACTCACAGAGATCCTCCTGCCTCTGCCTCCCGAGCGCTGGGATTAAAGGTGTGTGCCACCACTGCCCGACATGTGTTTATTTTTTTAATTTTGTTTGGTGGTTCTTTCTTTTTTCCTTTTCTTTTATCTACTTATTCATATATTCTGTGTATATGGGTGCTCTGCCTTCATGCATATCAGAAGAAATGTGATCCCATTACAGATGGCTGTGAGCCACCAGGTAGTTGCTGGGAATTGAGCTCAGGACCTCTGGAAGAGCTCTTAAATGTTCTTAACTACTGAGTCATCTCTCCAACCTTATTTTTTTTTAATATTTATTTATTTTATGTGTATGATTGTTCCAACTATATGTATGCCTGCATGCCAGAAGAGGGCATCAGATCCCATCACAGATGGTTATGAGTCACCATGTGGTTGCTGGGAATTGAACTCAGGACCTCTGGAAGAGCAGCCAGTGCTCTTAACTTCTGAACCATCTCTCCAGCCTTCCAGCCCTCCAGCCCTGTTTTTTTGCGACAAGGTTTCTCTGTGTCATCTTGGCTGTCCTGGAACTAGTTCTGTAGACGAAGCTGTTCTCAAATTTGTTGTTTCTTGTTTGTTTCTGTATTTTGTCTGATTTTGTTCTTGAAAGAGGGAGGAAAATAAGAGTATAAATATATAAAATAAGGGAGATCTGGGAGAAATTGGAAGAGAGGAAAAACATGATCAAAATATATTATGTGAAAAATTTTTTTTTCAATTAAAAAAAAAGTGGAGTGACCTAATAAGGAAATGTTACTTCAAGAACAAAAATACAGAGTGGAACAGGGTTCCAGCTCTGGGAAAGTATATTCGGCATGCATATACTACTTAGTATTAGACTCCCACACTGAGAATACTGAATTCAACCACACGCACACCTTTGATCCCAGTACTTGGGAAGCAAAGGAAGGTGATTCTCAATGAGTTCAAAACCAACCAGAACTACACAATGAGACTGTCTCAAAAACAATGAAGAACGCATTCCAAAAAGATTTTATTTTCATTATTTTTAAATTATGTGCAGTATGTGTCTGTGTGGGGGTATGTGCACATGAGTGCAGGTGCCCTACAGGCCAGAGGCATCAGATCTGATGGAGCTGGAGTTAAATGTGATTATGATTCACCCAATGTAGGTGCTGGGAACTGAATGCACATCCTCTGGATGAGCAGAACATGATCTTAACCACTGTGTAGTTTCTCCAGACCCAACAACAAAAAATAAGAGAATAAGAAACACACAAACATAAACTGGAAGGGCTCGTCCTGAAAGAGGAAGAGCATTTTACTTGGTCAGCCTTTTAAAGTAAGACACAAGCCAAACCCTTCCTGTCACAGGAGATCATAAAAGATCTGTGTATTCCTTGTTGTCCTGGAACTAGCTCTTGTAGACCAGGCTGGCTTCGAACTCACAGAGATCCGCCTGCCTCTGCCTCCCAAGTGCTGGGATTAAAGGTGTGAGGCATACACCACCACCCAGCTGAGATTATGGCTGTTTATGAGTCAAATTTGGTATATTAACACACACTTAAAAGATGAAATGGATGTTCATATTATAAGATTTGAAACAGTGAATTTATCACCAACTCTCTTATTTTTTAAAATCAAATATCATTATATATGTGTATGTATATATATATATGTGTGTATGTGTGTGTGTATACATATATATAAATTTTTTTTTAAGTTTCTCGAGACAGGTTTCTCTAGGTAGCCCTGGCTGTCCTGTAACTAGCCTGTAGACCAGGCTGGCCTCGAACTCAGAGAGATCTGCCTGCCTCTGCCTCCTGAGTGCTGAGATTAAAGGTGTGTACTACCATGCCTAGTGGTCACCAACTCTCTTATATGACTTATAAATATAAATTTTATTTGCCATTTTGAAGCTTGTGCTTTCTTTTTCTTTAAAATCTTTTTGTTAAACTTACCTCCCCACCTCCTCTGTGTGTGTGTGTGTGTGTGTGTGTGTACAGGCACACGTAGGTCACAGGACAATCTGTAAGAGTCAGTTCTCTCCTTTCATCATGTGGGTTCTGGGACTTGAACTTGGGTCATCAGGTTTGGTGGTAAGAGCCTTTACACACTGAACCATCTTGCCAGTCCTGACTTTCTCAAGTAACAATCTATATTAGCAATCATCTTGAATAATTTCAAGGTCTGCACCTGTTATTTACTAATTGTTTAGCCAAAATAAATGGTATATCTAGTCTTTGTTCCTTCCTTTCTCCCCCTACCAAGTGTTCTACCACTGAGTTATACTTCAGCCTGGTTGTCCCCTATGGACTCACAATAAAGAGCGTCGGCTAGGCACTGGAGAGGTCACTTACATACCATCACATTTGGTCCTTTCAGGTCATACTGTAAAACAGGGATTATTGTTCCTAGTTTTACTGAGAAATAAAAACCTAGGAGTAATTTGCTGAAAATACTTGAATGACATCGAAGCCTACAGGACCAGGCTGGAGAGCAGCTCCATGACAAAGCACTTATGGAGCATATGTGAGACCCAGCATGCTAAAGAAAGCAGAGTCTCTGCTCTCCAGCTGTAGAGAACATCCCCTCCTGTGCTGCCTGCAGATTTGTGTGCCCACATGCCACATCCTGTCTTCACAGGGTTGTTCCAAAAGCAAATGCACGGAAGCTTGCAGCTACCAATGCAAACACAATTGTGTTTCCCAAAAGCTTACCTTGTTCTGGTTCTGGGAGAACGTAGGCATTTAGCTGAACTTCATTCTTAGGCAGGGTGATCTGGACACTCTTCCCAGCAGACACCACCAGTTCCTTTACAGCTGGAACCGAGTGACAGCACCGTGAGCAGAAGCACACCAGACCGCTCTCTCCAGTCACCCTCAGCCATCTTCATCTGCTACTTGTCTACTCTCTAATCCCCCAAGTTTGGTTCCGTATCCACTTTTCCATTGGAAAGGGTCTCTCGAGGTTAGCAGAAAGCTGCTTCTTAGATTTGCTCCCCACCTCAGGCTGGTGGCACTCACTCCTGCTGACTGCCTCCACATTAAAGCGCTCACAACACCAGACAGCGCTCAGGGCTCTGATTTCTTCTGTACTGCACTAATGTCTGTCTCCACATCTGCTTTATATACTACTTTCCCAAGAGTCCAAATTCTGTTTCAGTGACCACTTTTATCAGGTGAATACCTTTTTCTTAAAGCATATAAATAACAAAGGATAAGGTCAGTCAGAAGGCCCACCTTTTCCAGTTTCTGTGACTACCAACTCATTGTTCACAGGTTAAGATTATTCCAAGATTCTTAATTCCTTTCCCACTTGTGTCCCACGTTACCCAGCCCATCCGGTCTTGCTATGACATATCCATCAATCTCCTGCCTCCCACACAAAGGCCTAAGCTGGCATAGGAGAACCACATGGACTCACCTTTCTAACCCAGTCCTGCCGTGGAGCCTCTAGGAAGCACATGGAGGCTGCTGCAGCTGTGGCTCAAGTGGGATGTTTACCTTTCCTGTATTCTACTTTGTTTCTAGTTTAAACTGTCTCCTCTCCAAGAGTTCTTTCCAGATCACCGCATTTCTGATCTACTTTTTGAGTCACTTCTGCATTTCTGGAACTCCCAAATCAGCACAAAGCTGTGCACTGCTCACACTATTGCCACCGATCGCCTGTGTGTCTGTGTTTCTCAACTTTGGCATTATTGATATTTTGCATCAAACAATTGTTGGGGGGCTGGGGAAAGCAGATGGTTTACACCCACTTAAAACCACTGATTCAGTCCTCCGGCAATAGCTGTTTACTGGAGGCCTTGCAGGAAACAGCAGACTGGTCAGCTTGTATTCTAAGGCTGGGGGTGAAAAGGGATTCCTGAACAAATAAGGAACTTGAGGTAAATCTGCCTCTGCTCAGGAACATTGCACTTAGAGAGGAATGACGCCATAACCTTTAGGAAACTGTAACCTTCAGCTGCCCCAGGAGATGGAATCCTCTCTGATAGAACTTTGGGGGTGGGGTGGGGGGCAGAGTCATTATACTCAGTATAACTGACCAAATCTGGCTAGTCAATACAGCAAAAGCCAAACACTTCAGTTTCATAGACACTCCACAGGCTTTCTCCTGAACACAGAAATCACGTGTGGCTTCAGGACTGGAACAGTGTCATGTTTCATTAAAAGCAAAGGAGACCCCAGAAAACCAAAAGTGGCAAAAAAAAAAAAAAAGAAGAAGAAGAAGAATTGTTCATTGGTTTTGCCTTGATGGACTATCTCTACTTGGTCCCTCAGTCCTGAGGCACCAAGGCAGGCAGAATTGGTAAGGCTCTAGGCCTAAGCCCCTTCCCATGCTTGTCCTGAGAATCAGGTGGCAAACGTCTGACCCATAGCCAGGTGTCTGGAGGCAGAGGGGCAAATCAACACTGCCTCCCTGCACATCTGTTTCTTCATTCTTTGCACCACCCGTCATACCGCCCCATTTAGTTAGTTAGGTTTTTGCTTGTTTGTTTGAGATGGTCTCACATAGCTCAGGCTTGTCTCAAGCTCACACACAGTCAAGGGTGATTTTGACTTCCTGGTTCTCCTGCCTTCACCCCCAGATAACAGGTGTGCACAGCATCCCCAGCACAGCTTGTGCCTTCAGGTCACAGTGGCTCTGAGAAAATGGATTCCACCAACTCTCCCAAGTAGGCAGCTGCTGAAATAGGGACCTGGGGCTCCAAACCCACACTTTCAGGGGCACAGACAGGGTCATGTACAACAGTCAGGCGTGTCTCCTCTGTTGTCTCTAAATGAGAAGACTTGAATCAAAGTCTCCACTTTTTCCTCTCACCTCCAAGGACAGGAACAGTGAGTCTCACCTGGGTATGGTGCTGAGGTGCTCTGGGAAGAGGCCGGGGGCATAGGGGTAGCATAGCTGTAGGAGGGGACCACTGGAAGAGGGAGATCAGTTGGGCTGTGCTCAGTGCTTTTTACTTGCTGAGTACTGGATGTAGGACTGGAATGCTCTGATGGTTCAGGATGGACGGACACATTCTTTGGAAAATCTGGAGTCTGTGTAGTATGGTCAGTGGTGATGGGACTGGAAACTGTGACGACTTTGTGGACCTAAAGAAACATGAAAGATTAACTTCAGTGAGCAAGTTACAGACTCATTGGGGTGGGCTCATGAAATGTATCAAAAACATGGAAGAAATTAATCTTACCACCCAAAGTCAAATAGTGTTAAAATTTGGAGCTAAAGATTCATTGACAGGATGCCTGCCAGATATGTGAAAGCCCTGGGTTTGATCCTCAGACCATAAATTACAGACAAAAAATAAAATAAGCTGGCATGGAGACTCTCACCTAAATTTCTGACACTCAGGAAGCTGAGGCAAAGAGTTTTTGACAAGAATCTGAGGCTAGCTTGGGCTATGGAGTAAGAACCAGTCTCAAAAAACAAAACAAAACACAAACAAAAAAACCCAGGGAGTTCAAGCAATGACTCAGCAGTTCAGAGTGCTGGTTGTTCCTTCAGAACACCTGGGCTCAATTCAATCAATGGTGATTTCAATTTCAAGAATCCAAAAACCCTCTTCTAGCCTCTGTGGGACCAGGCACACACACAGTGTACAAACATACATGCAGGCAAAACACCCATATACATTAAAGAACTTTTAAACTTAAAAATGACCAAGGGGGTTGGAGAGATGGATCAGCGGTTAAGAGCATCGCCTGCTCTTCCAAAGGTCCTGAGTTCAATTCCCAGCAACCACATGGTGGCTCAAAACCATCTGTAATGAGGTCTGGTGCCCTCTTCTGGCCTGCAGGCATACATGTAGACTGAATATTGTATACATAATTAAATAAATATTAAAAAATGACCAAATATTATGCTCAGCTAACAGGAGAAAACAAACTAAAAGCATAATAAGGTCAAACAGTAAATATTCCTATAAAAGTCACGATGAACCAAAGAAGTAACTGAGAACATGTCATGTTTTCTCTCTTGAAGGATTCTGGGCAAGAAGAGTCCTAAGCTGAGTTTTATAAGGGGAACAGCTGTTTACCACACAAAGGGGTAGAGAAGGAATACAGGCACAGACATGAAATTAGCATAGAGCAGTTGGGGACTAAAAGCCATAAGCACAGCAAGAGGCAGGAAGCATTGGGGATGAGCTGGAAGACAGGGAGAGCAAAGCCACACTGAGGAACGCTAAAGGACCATATGCAGAGAACGGCACAATCAAGTGTTTGTCTAGGTCACGCTGCTTTGCTGGGGTTCGAAGAAGCACAGTGACAACAGGACCACCGCCTCATTCAACCAACGAGGAGTGGAGAGGAGTTAGCCAGCGTGGGGGTAGGGATCCTTACAAATCAACTTACCGGAAACAAATCACATCAGAACATGAGGTCAAGTTTTGACAAATGCACACACCCACATAACAGCAACTTAGAGACAGAACATCTCTATCAGTCCCAAGGGTTCACTGATGTCCTTTTCATTATGTCCCTGCCTCCACCTCCAGACTCAGGCAGCCACTGATTTGTTTTGTCACAGAAAGACTAGTTTGTGTTTTCTTACACTTTCTATAAAAGGAACCGTATGTACTCTATCTTTATTTCTAGCTGTGTTCACTCAACAAGGTTTTGAGATTAGCCCATGGTACTGAATGTATTGGTAGTACTTTTTTTATTTTACTGAACACTATTTTATTACAGATATATCAAAATTTATTTTCCATTTATTTACTGGTAGAGATTTAAGTTGTTTTCAGTCCCCAGATGTTATAAAGAAAGCTGCTATAAATATTTG